GTGTTATATACATGTGTGTTGTGAGGGGGAGGGTATGCGTGTGTTTAGATAATGTATACAATACTTATGTATTTTTATGTACAAAATGATTCAGAATAACTACTTATTTTTCAAAAACATTCTTCATTGAATTTTGAAATTTTTTTTTTCTAAAACTTTGTTTGAAACTTAGGTTTTCAATTATAAAAGAAATTGTTTGCTTACGAATATAATATAAGAGGTAGGCAAAAAGCACAACTCACTATCGAAGGCACTTACAAAATGATTAGTTAATAAACACTTGTGTCTGAGACACAATGTGTCGCACCATTCTTGCCAGCTTCATATCCAGTCTATAATAAGCAAATTATTTTTTTTTATAATTTAAAATTAAGTTGCAAATAAAGTTTTAAAAGATTTATTTCAGAATTTATTCAAGAATATATCTTTTAAAAGTGATTGTTTTCCATTCTATACATTGAAAATATAATATAAATATGTTTACAGATTCATCAATTTACACAACAAATAGTACTTAATTCATTAAACTTTACCGCTGCTGGTTTCTTTTCAATTGATAATTCTCTTACTGGCAAAGTAAGTTATTTGCTTGTTTATTTAATTTAGTTAGTTAAATAAGACCATATTATTTACTTTGCAGCAACAATATTTATAATATAATTATACAGGATATCCCGTAGCATGTGTAACACCGTTCATGAGAAGATAGACGAGAGCGAGATAAATAAAATGTCTTATATCATTTTGCGATATTCGCAATAATTTTCGAGTTATTAAATACTATAAGACATTCTTATTTATCTCGCTTGCATTTACTTTCTCACGGTGTTACATATACTCCGGAACATCCTGTATATAAAAATATAAATGTAAACATAAAATGTAAAGTATCTTATAAGAATTATATTTAATATACATTTAACATAATTTGTGAGATTTAAGAATTATGAAAATGAGAAACAATGTATAATATATTTTTTTCAGTTTTTTGCTACGGTCACGACGTATGTTGTTATTCTTATACAAATGAACGCACCCTTGTAACATGACACATAAAAAAATGAGAATTCAAACATATTCAAACATATTTAATGAACAATGCAATCTTAATAAGTGAAATTAAAATTACTATTCCAAAAAATAAGAGTTTACAAAGAAGTTTAATAAGATTTTATTCAAATTATTTTTACAATTGTTTAATAATTGAAAGCAAATTAAAATTTTTTAAATTAAAGTGTATATATGTATTAAATTAATTAAAAAATTTTTAACATTATAAAAACTGGATTAGTAAAATTTTGTTTTTCCTACAATTTATTTTTACAATGCTGAAAAGTTAAATAAAAAATCAAATTATAATGATTAAAAGGTAAGTATAGCGAATATAGCAAATTGGCAAATAATTCACATTTTTTTTACATATTTCACATTTTTTAAACAAGTTTTAAACAAGTTATTTGTAAAATAAATTTTTTAAGAATATAATCTAAGCTGGAAAGTAAACTGGTACACATGGTTACACAATATACATACGTATTTGTATATATTAACACAATTTAAAAATTACTAATTACTTCGTATAAATATTGATTTCTTTAATTATGTATATCTATACTATTTAATGATTTAACGACATTATAATGAGTTGATCTAATCAATTATTATCTCATTATTGTGATAAATGTGACTTTTGCATGCTGCATGACTTTCAACTTAGGATTCAATACTTGGTATACGAAGTCGTAACAGTGATCATGGTTGACACTATAGAAAAAGCTTTAAAACCTTTTTCTTTTGTTGCTTTTTTCTTCGGTTTCGGAATTTTTCAATATCCTCTTAATTATTGGAGATTTCGTCTGAGTGTATTTTATATTTTAACTGTGTGGAGTGTTTATGCATGTGTATTTCATTTTATAGTAAATATTTTTTCACCAAGGCATTTATTCAATGGTCATTTGAACTTCTTCATGATAAATATAAATTTTTTTGTGACAGTAATATCTGTAACTATTACCATTCGCAAACACGAGGTATATTTTTTCTTTATATTATTAATATTTTCTTTATGTTATTTTTCTTTATGTTTTTAATAACTTTAATATTTAAAATTAAATAAATAATATCACAGTATCACTTTATCATCTAAGATTGTGTTATAATATTAAATAATTAATTCTTCTTAAGCAATCATTTTTAGTTAATAAACTATTAACTAACCGTCAACTAATATTAGTTAATCATAATAGTTAATCATTGGCTAACGATTTGCCAAAAAAATGTGTTGCTGAAGTTATATTCCTTTAAAAAAATTTAAAATATTAATTTTTGAAAAAATAATAAAATTTATTTATAATTTATTCTACATTGGACAATATAAAAGATTTTAATAATATTCTTATAAAAAATTCTTTGGTTTATCGTTAAATATCATGTGTATATGTTTCATATATATACATTTTTTAATAAACATTCATAATTTATATTTTGCTTTTTTGCTGATATTCTTAGAAAATCCACATATGTATAAAAAAACTTAGTTTTGTGGATGATACATTAGAAAAACTCGGAACACCCAAAAAATATCACAGAATGCAAAACTCAATAATATGGTTGTTAATTATATATCTTATAGTGGTTCTCATATCACTTATTACTGATTCTATATGGAATATAGAAAAACACAACAGCACAAAAGCCATAAGTATTTCTTTTGTTATGGGATATCCTTTTCACGTTAATGCCATTGGAGATATAATATTTGCATTTGTTATAAGGTTTGTAAAATATATTTTATAAAAACTGTTATTTTATTAAAATTATTATTTTTAAAATTTAGTAATGATTATTATTTAAATTTAATTAAATTTTACTAATTGATTTTACTAATTGAAATTTAAATAAATCCTGAATTTTTAAATTTGAAATATTATAATATATTAATTTACATTATATTATGATATTATATCTTGAAATTAAATTATTTTATATTGATGTCATTATATTTTATGTATATATATGTTATAGTTATGGACATGTAGATTTAATTATTTGCTATTATAGAATTATATTATCCGATTAATTATGCAAATTTAGAAATTTGTAATTATTATGTATATAAATTTAAATTTTGAATAAAGTAAAAAGTAATTAATGAATTACTTATTTTTTACTTTGTTATATAATAAGTATTTAAAACACACATCAGTCTTAAATATATTTCAAATAATAATTACAGATATATCGGTACCAGATTGGATAAAATAAATGGCTATATTGAACAACTATCAGAAACCGAAGAATATGGACTGAGATGCAAGTGGAATAAATCAATTGTCATTCGCCGTCATTGTATTCGAAGTGCAAAAAGTCGCAAGCACATGTTATGGACTATAATGTAAATCAATTCATGCTAAAATAATATAAAAATATTAACAATTTTTATAAAAAAATTTTTTATAAAAAAGAATTATTATGTTAATTAAATGTATAAACATTATTGTTTATAATATATATAATAAATAATCGCACAAATAATTAAAAATTTAATAGCAATTTTATTTTTTTACAAAAATATATTAAATTTGTATATTTATAAATTTATAAATGATTTACATAAAGAAACTGCTAAATGTCAATTTTAATTTCAATTTTAATTACAAAATCAATTTTTTGTTAAATCCGATTTACAAAAGTAATTTACAATTTAAAAAAAGAAATGTTAAATTAAAAAAATTTATAATATTATTTAAATTTTTACATAAAATTTTTATGTTTAAAAAAATACTTAGTTTTGACATTTAAATAATCTATATAAATTTTTATAAATTTTTTAAATTATTATAAATTTTTGCATTAATAATCAAATTAAAATTTATCATCTGCAAGAAGTTGTTTAATTTATATATAACAATCTTTATAATTAATTACATCAATATAAATTAATGTCAATTTATAACTTGATTATCTTTTTATATCTCTTTTAAATATACTTTTGATATCATAATCAAAAAAGGAGCAGTTTGTTAATTGATTCTAAATCAGAATTTTCAGTTTTAATATAAGATACATACTCAAGTAGCATAGAAAGTAAGATGTATATTTTATTTAGAAATAATAATTTAATAAATATATAATAGTTTTGTAATAATTAAATTTGTTTAATAATATAATGTTTCAGGCATCTGCATTCAGAATTGTGTCGAGTAGCTCGTGATATAAATGATTTATTCGGAATGCAATTAACTTTGCAAATGATAACCTATTTTATTATTTTGATCTCATCATTTTACATTCAATATCATATGATATTATGTCTAAAACAAATACATGGGAGCAATACAGCTAAACTGAAACTTATACTCAGCAATGACATGTGGGGCATCATTTTCTTAACAAAATTTATGTCAGTAAATCATATTTGCGAAAGTGTTAGTGCCAAGGTAAGTCGAGTTTCAGTAAGAAAAAATCAGAGAGAATTGTAACAAAGTAGAAGTTACATAACATACACATAATATTTCTATTACTTTTTCTTTGTTCTCTCATTTTTTATTTTTTTTATTAAATAATAATATAATATATTAAATTATTTTAAATTTGAAAATAGATAATAGTACGAGAGAAAATATATACTGCAAAGATAAAGCTCTCCAATTTCAACTTTAAGAAATGATGTAATCTTTTTCTATAAAAACAATAAACTTATTTATATGTAAATGTTTATCATTAATTATTAAGTAATGTAAAATTATTATAGATATTAATATTATAAATAATATAATTACTTTTTTAGGTGCAAAAAACTAAAATCTTGATACATAAATTAACAATTCTTATACGTTTCACTGAAACCCGTAAGGAGGTAAAATAAATTGTTTCTAATTTCTTTTAAATAATTTTTAAGCACATATCTTAGATAAAAATTATATTGTAACACAGATTTACCAGTTTCTTTTGCAAATAACACTTCGACCGTTGAAATTCAATGGAATGGGCATGTTTCATTTTGGATATAAATTTATTTATAAGGTTAGTTTTGAATATCTGTTAGATATAAGTTTAATAAGATGAGATTTTAATTTAATAAATAAAATTGTTAAAAAACATTATATTTTATATATACTTTCAGTTCTCCATCTGGGTTCTCACTGTTATTGTTTTTATAATACAAATGGAAACTTCTCCTATGTCTCAAAAATCAATATCTAATAGAGAAAACTTAACATGTTTTGATAGAGATCTATAGAATCATTTATTATAATTATTTATAATTATAATAAATAATTAACATATTTATTTATTTATATTAAAAGATCTATTTATAGATGTTTATGTAAGTTGTTATTTATTAATTTATTTTAATAATTTAGAATATAAACCGAATATATATATATATATATATATATATATGTATTTTAAAAATTTTCTTTAATGTATAAAATTATTTTATATTTGATATTAGTAAAAAATTATTTTTATTAAAGTATTAATCTTTATTATATTAATTATAAATATATACATCTTCATAAATATTGATTATTATATTATATTTATATTTTCAGTCATCATTTATTTTTATATAATTTTATATAATTTCATATAATTTCATATAATTTTAATATTTTTAATATTAAATTTAATCAAAACCCAAACATATTAAAGTTATATAACTGAAAAAATATTAAATATTTTAATTAATAGAAATGGAACTAAAAGCCTTATATCAATTATTGATACTAATAATATCTAACAATGTCGACTGATTGTATCGTTATAAATGTTCATGAAAGAATTAAATAATACATGATACTAATGTATTAACCCATAATTGTCACTTATCTTGATAGTAAACTACGCAACGGCTGGATAACTTATGTCAGAGTTTCAAACTGAGACCTTAGTTTGCGGCAAGCGCAATAATAGTGATGATTATGGCAACTACTATAGAACAAGCTATACGTCCACTAATTCTTACTTCTTCCGTGCTTGGTTTAGGAGACTGTTTCTCAAAAAAACCTTATTTAAGTGTTTTATACAATCTGACAGTATGGATCATTTATGGTTGTCTTGTTTACTATATCGTAACAACACTTAAGGTAGAAGCATGGTTTAAGTCATACTATGCTATACTTGACATGCAAATTGGAATTCTTACTAGTATCACATCTCTTATCGTAAATATATATCTACATAAGGTATATAATCAATATTTATATAAATATTAATTTAATACAATAAATGATCAAAATATAATATCTCAAATAAAAAAAATTATATTTTAAGTAACTTTCACGTTATATTTTATATTATAAAAAATAAATATATATAAATTGTATTTAAATATAATTATTGCTTAATGATGTGTTTAGAAATTTCGAATGTTCATAAAAAGACTTTTTGCTGTGGATAATACGTTAGAAGAATTAGGCATTCCAAAAATATATCGCAAGTTACATATATATGCAAAAGGATTGTTAATTGGATGGTTAATATGTTGTAATTTGGGAAATATATTTGATATGATATGGTGGTTTTATGCAAAAAAGGATCACCGATATTTGCTGATACCCTGTATCGCAAATCATTATTATCACGTCAACATGTTTGTGGATTTGTTATTTGTAATTTGTCTGTGGTTTGTATTACTTAGAATGTTTGTATATATTATATAATTTTATATATTTATTAAATTATTTAATGTTCTTCATTTATATCTTGCAAAACAGTAACAATCATTACTTAACAAATTCTTTTTTAGAATTAATTGAAAAAATAAAAAAAAAGGAAAGAAGAGAGAAAGAAAGAAAAAAATGACAAAAATATTATAAAATATATTTTATACTATTAAAACATATTATAGAATATTTTTAAAAATAAAGCAAGTTATAGTAAATTTAAACCTTGTAATTATGTATGCTTTAATAATTACATATATATATATCTCTAGTTATTTATTATTTATTAATTTAATTTATTTTTTATAGTTTATAAAATTGTAAAATTATTATTCAATACAGGTACATTGGCACTAGATTTGACAAGGTAAACGAATATTTGAAGTGTCTGTTAATAAAAGAAGAACAGAAATATGAATGGAGAAAAGCTATACCAATCGTATATCAAAATATGATATGTACTGACAATCAGTACATATTATGGACTTTAATGTAAATCGAAATATGGCATGCTTGAATAAATCACAGATTTGGGTTTAATCTCTAATCTAATATTAAAAAAAATTAATGCATTCAGGAATTTTTTTAGCAGAAATTTTATTTTTCCATTGTAAATAATTTTTTTTTTTCACTTATACATTTTATTGTATCCTCATTAATAAATATTATTTTTAATAGGCATCTTCATTTAGAATTGTGTCAGATTGCTCGTCAATTAAATGCAATGTTTGGAATACAAATAACTATGGAAATGGGAGCTTATATAATACTATTGATAAGGCTGTGCAATTACATTTTTATACATATAAAAACGGAAGGTCGCTTTATAATCGGTTTTATGTTCAATTGGTTAAGTCTCTATTATTGGCTATTCTTACACATAGTCAAAATCTTTTTTCTAAATTATATTTGTGAAACTGTCAGTACTAAGGTAAATGTATATGTATTCAATATATAGAGAAAAGTCGTCGATCAGTCATTATATCATTTCATTTTTAGATTATATTTCTTAAAACAAAAGCAATATATGAAATTTTAGAAATATAAATACAAACTAGAAAATATCTCTTCTATCAGATGATGTAGCATTTTTATAATATTGTTTTGTATTTTGTAATAATTAATTTTTTATAAAATAACCAAAAATAAGCTGAAAAATTGAACTTCAAAAGTGATATAATAAGCAATAATATCAGAATTCAGTAACTCTCCCCCCGTATTGAAGAAATTAATAATAAAGTAAATTAATAAACTATATTTTTTTTTGCTATTTCGACACAAGACACAAATAACTGTAAAAGTTACATTACGTTAATTTATCACATTTTATAGTATCTATCTATAATATTGTATATTTTATAGTCTGTCTTATCGACAGTTAGGTGCCGATTTATATCTCGATTTTATATTATTTAAATTCGAAAAAAAAATAAAGAAGAAAAAAATATAAATAAAATATAATAAATACATTATATTGATGACATTAGATCCTATTGAAACTACAAACAAGTAAAAGGACTTAATGCCATCAATAATGTATTTATTATTATTTAAACGCAATTTACAAAGAAAACCATAAGAATTTTATTTTCGCAAGTGAATAATATGTTTTTAACTGATTTCGAAAAAAGTATATGAATTATCAGTTTTCAGATCATGTTTTTATTATTAATTTTATCATTACTAATAAAGGACAATATATAATCTTTAATTTCCGAAAAATAAGAGAGCGTCTCTTTTAAAAGATCTATGTCACTATCGGCGACTTTCCTCCATAAATATATGTATTTATTAATAATGAATAATTTATTTTAGTCTAATAAAATAGAAAAAATAGTTCATCGCTTAACTGATCTCCATCAATATATTGACACCCGCGAGGAGGTAAAAAACAATTTTTAACAAAAAAGATAATTCAAATAAATTTTTCAAATGTTGATAACACTTTAATAACACTTTTGTGTATGCAGATTAATCAATTTATATTACAAATAATACATCATCCATTAAGATTCACAGGATTAGGTCTCTTTTATCTTGGAAATAGCTTTCTACGAAAAGTGAGTTTTTATTTATTTGTTTTATTTTTATTTTTTATTTTTATATTATGCTATAAATTATCAAATATAAACTTTGATAAAAAAATTTTATGTATAGTATATTTCTATTATTTTGTGTTATTATGTAACAAAAATGTTATTTAATATATAAAAATACTAATTTAAAATGTCTTCTTTTTTATTAATGTCTTTAGTAGAAAGTTAATTTATATAATTTCTTCTAGTTTGTTATGACAGTTACAACGTTTATTGTCATTATAATGCAGATGTCTACTATACCAAAAGTATATAATGGATTTTAAGATAAATTAAACAACTAAGTTCTGTTAACTATTACAATATTATATAAAATACAATGATAATAATCTAGATATTGATACGTATTTGTTACTGATAAAAATGTATATATTACTTCATATACTAATGTTATTATTAATAAATTAATTACTCACTTTATTATCTACATTTTCTTTTACAGGATATTCGGATAAATAGACATATTAATATAGCCGTATTATTTAAGTATTTTTAAATTCAACGGCAAAAGAAAAAAATACAAAATATTTGCAATAATTTTGTTAATTAAGAAATTTTTAATAATTTGTTACACAATAAGTTGTACAATCATATTTTATTTTTGAATAACAATAGTTTATATGTCAAAATACATATTTTTCCTTCTCTCTCTCTTTGTCCCCTCCTCTCTCTCACATCCTCTCTTTTTTATAATTA